CCCATGAATTTGGACACGACCATTGTGAGCTGTAGTGCCAGAGAGCCATGTTGGGCTGCAGCTAGTAAGCTGTGTGTGTGTGTGGAGGTGGATTGCCCCTGCTGCGTGGAGAGGAGTGTGTTTTGGTACTAACCCTTTTTGGCATATTTTCAGTTTATTGTTTTCTTTCATTAAAAAGTGACAGCAGTTTGTCCGTCTCTTTTAGGTAACTTATTAATGGAAACATTAATAAACCTGTTAATTTAACTATTTTGCCTCCCTGTCTCCCTTTTTCAACCTGGACACCTTTTGTTACTTTCCCTCACCCCTGGACCTTTTTAGGGGAACGTAACACCTTGTTGGTGTAAAAATGTTTTATGCCAAACTCTGTTATCCAACTAAACCAGGGGTGGCAAACTCCAGGCCTCAAGGGCCGGTGTCCTGCAGGTTTTAGATCTCACCCTGGGTCAACACGCCTGAATCAAATGATTAGTTCGTTTCCAGGCCTCTGGAGAACTTCAGGACATGTTGAGGAGGTCATTTAGCCATTTAAATCAGCTGTGTTGGATCAAGGACACATCTAAACCCTCGAGGCCTGGAGTTGCCCACCCCTGAACTAAAGGAACAGGACGAAAGAGACTAAATTTCAAATTGGTTCTTTACTAAATTGTCTGTTATGTGAAGGCAACACTGGTTCATCTGTTGTATTAGGAGGTTTTTAGGTAAGGTTTAACAAAAAAAAGGGGGGGAAAAATGTCCAAAAAAAAGCCTCAAGTGCTCAAGCCCACTTTTTCCCCCAAATCCAACTCAGTGGAAGCAAAATATAAAGAAAGACTCTTCACATTATTGTACATATAATGTTACAAAGCTGGATGCTTGTGTTAAACCTGTGTGTAGTTTTAAATAATGAGGTAAAGCTTTACAATAGTTTATCAGTTATGATGATAAACTATGGTGCCGTTCCTACCCGAGCCATGTCCACAGTGAAGTCCTCAAACAGATTCCAGATGTGGTTGGATGTGTAGATCTCCTTCATCTCCACCTCTGTGTCCACATAGCAGTGATTCACAAAGTTCACATAGGCAACTTTCACCTGGAGGCACACAGGAAGTCACGTTAGCTTTCTGGTTTAATCAAAGCAGTTTACAACCCTTAAACCACACAAACGCGGTGAGCACCTCAGTAATGCAGTCCTCATGGGTCACCACTCTGACCACATCCTCCAGGGGCAGCAGGGAGGTGCATTTAATCTCCGTGTACACGTTCTTCCCCTCTGCACAAGCAGCCAGAAGCTCCACCAGAGAGATGTGATACCTGTGGGGGGGGAATTATTTCACATTCAGGTCTCAGACGGAAACACGACAGCATGTTTGGGATGGGAAATAAAAGCACCTGATGGTAAGTTAAAAAACTTTGTTGTCCACACAGTATTTAGACTCAAGTAAAATATATATGCACCCACACGTATATATACTTGAAAACAGATGTGACTTCTTATAGGGCAAAATCTGCCAGAACCAAATCTGTCAATTACATTTTTAAAAAATTAAATCAGTTCTGATATTCTGGAAAAACTAAAGATTGATAAACATTCGGTCCATTTTAACAAGTCATGACTCATGTCTCCTGTTTTGCAGCTGTGGCCACATCAGCTGAAGCCTCGTGGTTTCCACTTGCTCAGATCAGAAGAGCTCCGACTTGTGTGTTTATAGCAGCAGAGTTAAGGTGGTACAAACTTCTGCTCTGCTTCTTCTTTTAAACGATTTGACTGATGAAACAAAACTCCTCGACATCGTCTGTGGCTTAATATGCAGCTACGCGTCCAGAGCGATACTGACACACTGCATCATTGTGTCTGGGTTTTGGTATTAGAACAGTGACACAGCACTGCCACCATCACGTCAGATAGTGCATTACAACAATTGTATAACTATAAGTTCACAATCACTGCAAGAACTTCTCAAGAAAACATGTTTACAAATGTAATAAAAATCTTGAGTAGCTGGTTCAAGACCAGAGGAGACACAAATTCCTTTTTGATTGAATCAGGAAGGACATATATGGCATAAAAAATTAAACATGCAGAGCTACATGCTGTTTGGATCCTTTTATATCCTGTTATAGGATCATTTTATCCTGTTATTGTCTCCAGCTCGAAGCTTTCAGTCATTTAACAAATAAAATAGAATCCTGTCATTTCTTAAATGACCGCGTTATGGTTAGTATCAGGTTTTA